CCAAACAAGGGTTCAAGACTTACAAATTGACTGAACTCGCGTATTTTAATCAACCTCGACCACGCTAATGCGTTTTCAAAAGTGTTCGTTTTCGTCTCCATCAAAACGAAGCAAACATATTTTAATTCGCGTTGACCTCATCTTATCACTCACTCAGAAGAGAGGCTGAACTTGGGGCCTTTGGATAGGAGCTTGATTTCATGAGTGTTAAGGTATTTTTAATTTACTTTTTAAACAGCAGTTTAAGGCCTTATTCGAACAATTTTATAGTACAGAAGATGTTACACGTTGGCGAAAAGATATGACTTTTACTTTCTTGGTGCTCGAACATCAAAATTATCTCTGTTTGCCTCCGTATAATTTCTTTTAAGTAATTAAAATGAAAGAGAAATGTTGACCAATAAAACATTTAGTCTTCATGACGCTATTGTCAAGGTATATGTTAGGACAATGAATTTTGCGAGTATAGAAAGTCAAATTATGAATGCAAAGGACCACGTTGGGCCCACCCCTTGTACTCTACTCTAGGCCGCCGTTTAGATTGGATCTAGCAACCCGCCCTCCCACTCCGCAAGGAAACCGGGCTTTTGGAGTGTATCCTCCAGACTCTCCGTCTTGTTTGGGCTTGTCCCATCTAACTGAAAAAGTTGGCCGTTGGTGGCTACGCTCAAGAGAACGACTAAATCCGTTCTGGTAAGGTTCAATGTGTACGTTGTATTAAGCCAATTGACCTTGAGAGCTCAGTCGGTAAGGACTTCTATAGTTTCATTTAAGGGTACATTGGTGAATAATGAGGAGACATAATATGACAACAAGATTTCACTCGTATTGATCTTCAAATCACGAATTTCATTCGTAAATTCAAAGGCATCCGTTACTGTATACTGACAGTGGCGGATCAAGACCTTGAGTTAAGGGGGGGAGGGGGGGGGGCGGTTTTTTTGTCGCTTGCCCTGCCGGCTTGTCTTCCTTCTGCGGTTCTTTTTTCTTTACCCGAAATAAGAAGGGGGGGACGGGTGTTGAAGTCCTAAATGTAACAACATTTGGTCTTAAATGTAATAAAGCCCTAAATGTAATAACGTTCGGTCCTAAATGTAATAAGCCTCCTATGCAATCGTTTAACTGCGCTAACATTGAGATGTTAAAGTGACAGCTGTTGCACTAAAGAATCCTCTGACCAATATTCATGGAATATTGCGGGCTCACTGATATTAATCAGCATCTTTTTATTTGCTAAAGACGTAGGTTGAGGAGCGTTGGCTACAAAACCTTATACTCATACTGATGTGCTTTTGGCATCAAATTGACGGACGCAAAAGCAATGAGAACGTTGACCAATAGCTCTCTTTATATCATTGGCTCAGACTCTTAAGTGTAACAGATTTTGACGATATACTTCTGTCATCAGTGCTGAAGTTAACACTTCATGATTACAAGGAAAAGGAAGTACACCGAATTATACGTTGGACAAATCGTAAGGTCAATATCCAGTAATCTTGACCATACAAACTTGGTCAGGAGAGTTCTATATGTATTCTCTTGGCTTAATCATAAAAGGATTCATAGTATAGCAAAAGATTTCGCTTTGATAAGAATCAAGAATGGCCTGTTTATTTCGAGAGCCGATAGTGAAAGTCAATTGTGTAAGCAGCACAATAAACCCAAGAGGGTCGTTTATTTTTTTCTATGTATATGCAAACATTGTCCAAAAGTTACGATCTCTGTAAGTTTTCTTGCGTGGGATTAATACGGGGGATCCCGAGCGGGCGAGGGTGGGCCCATCATGCCCGCTCAGGTAGCCAATCAGAACACAGGATTCACCTCATCTTGCCCGCGTGCGCTGCTAGCTATATGCTAAAGTTACTTACAGAGCAAGATATCTACTGACCAATCATGTTTTATCCCATTTTACGATCACAGGTCTCGACATGTTGCCTTTTTTCCACGCAAGAGTCAAATTGAACCATTGAGCTTCAACATTCAACACATGATGGTCAGTTGACGGTCTAATGAACCATTCATTTTTTTCCTTTAGCCCCTTATGACGGGTTCATCAGTTCCCGAACCGAAATATTGGGAAAACATATATTTTACAGTTGATCTTAAGTTTATATTTCATTTTTTGTCTTCATCTCTTCTCCCCGCCGTGAGGGGAGATAATGAACAGATAAATAGATGAATGAAAAAAGAAAGGTTAACAGTTTCCACTTATAGTCATGTGGTATATGAACTGATTACTGAGGTGGAGTAAAGCCATAGAGGGCTAGAAATGCAATACCCCAGGTTCAAAATTGAATAAATCAGGATAGTCATTCTTAAAAATGAATTCAAAAGCTTCATTAAAATCAATTGACACTGAATAACATTAATGTGCAAAATTTTTCGTAAACTTCCCTGATTAATTTTTCGTTTCAGCTTACTAATCTATACTATTTCAAAGCAAAGAAGTTTTCAGAGAAAACCATGAGTCGGTCCTTTCAATAATTGTAAACAAAGTGTTTGAGCAATCAGGTATACGAGGTATAATAATCAATAGCTACATATCAGAAGTCTTCAGAAAGAAAATATTCTGTTTTCAGAAAGCTGTCAAGAAAGCTAGTAATCGTGGCGGAAGGCAATTAAATGTACTTCTTGGCAATTTGGAAACGGGCCCTCGGTATCGATTTAAGGTGTATTACAACGAGGTTGATCTACATCAGCTTAAAGATGAGAACAGCCAGTTGAGGGGAGAAAAAATAAAATTAGAATAATCGTTGGTACAGGAGAAAGTAAAGCGATTGCGAGTGGATAAAAAAGCCCGAGAAGCTCTCGAGAAAGCTGAGAAGAAAGGGGCCTTCTACAATAAAAAATTTATTCAGTTGGCCAAAAAAGTGATTACAAATGGGAAAAAAGGTAGAGGCCCAGCTAAGAAGAAATTTAATGACTATTCTAAGCACTATCAAAAGAGAATTAAAAACCAACTGAAGGAGGAGTGCTAAACTATACTCTCCTTTCTTGGGCTGTACAATTTTGTTTCAACCAAAATTGAAGTCCTCAACACTGAGACTAATCAATATGAAACTTTCAATCTTGTTGACCTCGACCTCTCGCCGTCCAGACCAAAGCTTTTTCTTTATTTCACGAGCAAGTTGGCCATGGGACGATTCTTTTCCATCCTCTAGAGAGTTTTCCGAGGGAATGAACAGCTTTTCGCTGCGAACAAACGGAAAATATCCAGATCCTCTATCGGCCCTGAAGGGTGTCCATTCATCGAAGCATGTGCTATAGCCAACGTAATGAATTTTCAACCTCTCTTGTAGATTTTGTGAACCTCCCTGATCTCAATATCATACAGTTTTGTATCTTTCTTTCGTGGATTCGCCTTTCTAACGGGTGTGTATGTTAAGTATTTATTGCAAAATCGCTTTGCTTTTTTTATTTCCCTCTTTGGCCTGTCCGCCATTTTGAAAATTCGCATCGGAGAGCATGCGCATTACGTAGGGTCAGTGGTCGCGTACACCTGGAACCGAGAAAAACAAATGTCCGTCGCGCTGGGGAAAGAGTTTGATATGTTTAGGACTTGATTACATTTAGGACAATTATTACATTTAGGACTTCAACAGACGGGCCCCTCACCTAGATCCACCACTGACTGTTTAGGGGACAAGGGTTTCAGCTTTTCATCGAGCCATTTGGCAAGAGCAAAGTTTTATGTGTGCGTTGCTGATAATATAGGTCGCATAGCTAATCGTTCTTTACGGGTATTTGGTAGGGCAAACAGAGCCCGTAATGGTCTTTGTTAGGATTCTACGTACCGTGGAATCTACAATCTTTTGGAGTTGGTTTTACATAAAACTATGACACCATTGTCAAGGTAAATGTTAGGATAATGAATTCTGCGAGTATTAATAACTGCAGTAAATTTACATGCTTAAGAATGCAAGATTAAATCACAGATATATTCTATTACTGATAATTTCCTAACCCGTGTTCATTAGCCGTAAAATCAACCAAGATCCAAAAGAAGAAGAGAAAAAGCCACAGATTGAAAACCAACAATGCGTTGTTTATCGTTTTCAATTTGACCTGTGTGATGCAGGTTATGTGGGTTATACGCGCGGACACTTACATATCTATTCCATATATAAACACTACCAAGAAAATCATGGCAAGGTCCTTGAAGACCTACTGACGCGCTTCGACGTTCTAAAGAAATGCAAATATAAATTCTGTTGCTAAGTGCACGAGGTGTTATTCATCAGAGAACTAAAAACAACTCTGAACGTGCAATCCGACTCAGTCAGTTCATATTGCTATTTTGTACGTGTTCAGAATTGTTTATGGCAAAATCGGAAAGCTCGGTTTAATTCAGATACTGGATATTCTTGCAAATACTTGATGTTCGTTGAATTCCTTGTCGTTACAGACAGTAATACCCAGGTTGTGAGCGAATGTGGATCTCGTTCCTTCCCAGTTGCATTATTGGAATCGAAACTGAGCGACCTCACGTGGCCTTTAGCCAATGCTGAGAGATTTTTGACCATCAATGCCAACAATAATCAACAAAGTAAAGAAAAAAAATGCAAAACTTAATTGAAAACACGAGGCGAAACCGATTTATGCTTTGGAATTTTTTATGTCAGCTCAATGCGTCACAGGGTGATCTCGCAGGTCCTCTACCCGGTTAAACCGGTTTCGTAATACGCTTTACACAGGCCAATGAGACGCAAGCGCGTTGTTAAGGATAACAAATTAACAAGACATGAACCGGGGATCCATGAATTACCACCGCGCGTGCAGTTCGTGGATTAATTTTGTGGAACGCCTTCAATTTTTGAAGATGAGCAATCATCATTCCATATCTGACTAAAATAACCAGGTGTATGACATTTTTTGTTCCTATTCAGCATATGAATCCTCCAAAGTAACATAATGACACCATTAACATCGCATGTAATGATTTGTGGACTAGGAACACATGGGTGGTTTATGGCCCCCCGCACCATTTTTGTTTGTCTGTTACCTTTTATACGCCCTTAGCGGTGAACGTGCTATGCATAAATTTGGAGTGGCAGTACATGTTCGGTATAGCACGAAGAGTTCAACATAAGAGAGGAGCCTCAAAAATGAATCTTTTGCTGTTCACTCTGACTGTCGTTGTTCTGATGGCTGCACATGGTGAGTACTGCACAACTTTAGAATTTGAATTGTAGCTTAATCTCTCAAGAAATTTTGTTTCTTATTAAAAGCATCGCTGAATAATGCGACACTGAAACAGATCAAATTGCCGCAAAATAACCGTCGAGTATCTTCATTGGTTTTGGCCGCCAACATGATAGGCTTTTTTTCCGTGAACCGTACAGTAATCTTTAAAAATGCATATAGCAGCTTTCGTTAAGTGTTTTTATTAAAATAGGTAATCCTAAGTTGAACCAGGGGAAGAAATCCACTATCAAAACCATTCAGGTCTCAGTCAGTTTACATTGTTTCCAAATACGACTTTATTTGTTCAAGTTTGTTCTTTGCAATATTGGGGACATATAAATGTAGGATGCAATTCAGTCCTGAGCGACTTTTAAGCTTGTTCTTCGCTGAATAAAGGACTTATTATAATAGACGATATAATAGTAGTTGCAGAACGTTTGCAGCGACGGAAGAAGATGAAAAGATCGCAATACCCTGATCGTGAGAAGATGTAGATCTCATTACATCCAAGTTCAATCATTTGCCAAATTAGCGAGAGTTCGAACTTTCACCACGCGCCTATTTCGTGGATCACGTTTGGACCACTCTTGTTTTTTTTTAGATGATCAATTATCATTCTACGGCTGCCCAAGATAGGCTGATGCGTGAACATTTTGTTTTCAAATTTAGCTACAATTTCTTCGGTTCCAAAGTTGCCCAGTACTCACCATGTGCAGCCATCAGAACAACGACAGTCAGAGGGAATAGCAAACGACTCATTTTGTGGCTCCTATCTCATGACGGAGTTTGAATTTTCGTGTTATGCCACAGATAACTTGAAAAATGTCACGCAAATGACAAAACATCACGCCGCGCCAAAAATGTTACGCCAATCATGCCTTGTTCACGTGCAGGATTGGCGAGTAATAGGTAGGACTAGCAATGCACTATTACTCTATGACCTCATAGACTTTGCAATGCACGCGACGACCTTTATGCATTGAAATTTTTTCATGCCAGCTCAGTGTGCCAAAGGCTGTTTTCGGAGGTAATCTACCTGCTTAAACCGGTTTCATAATACGCTGTGCACAGGCCAATGACACGCTGGCGCGTTGTTAAGGATCATAAATTTACAAGACATGAACAGGGGGTCCATGAATTACCACCGTTCGTGCAGTTCGGGGATCACTTCTGTGGAACACCTTCAATTTTTGAAGATGAGCAATCATTATTCCACATCTGATTAGGATAACCAGGTGTATAACATTTTTTGTTCCTATTCAGCGATGTAATGACACCAATAATATTGCATGTAATGATTTGTGGACTAGGAACACAGGAGTGGTTAATGGCCCCCCGGACCATTTTTGTTTGTCTGTAACCTTTTATACGCCCTTAGTTAACGTACTATACATAAATTTGGCGTGGCAGTACATGTTCGGCATGGCACGAAGAGTTCAACTTCGACACAAGAGAGAAGCCTCAAAAATGAATCGTTTGCTGTTCACTCTGACTGTTCTTGTGATGATGGCTGCACCTGGTGGGTAATGTAAAGCTTTGGAACTGAAGAAATTGTAGAATTACTCCACAGATAATGTAATTTCTTGGATACTCATCCGTGCTAAACAATTCAGAAAGAGATCAAACAAAAATGGCATCAAAACAATTTGTCGTGTGTTTTCAGTTGCTTTAATTTTTCTCTGTCATTTAAGGGTTTCTCTCCATGATTAAAGGAAAGGAGGTCAGTTTATAAAGAAACTGAGATTTTGCATCGGTGTGGGGTATGACGAGATTATTTGATTTTATCAACCGAGCTGATAATGTGAACTTGCCACCGTAAAGAGTATCTAAAGCTGACGTTTCGAGCGTTAGCCCTTCGTCAGAGCAAAATCTCACCGTAAGCCGTAAAAAAATCCTTGTAAGTGCGGGGAACTTGATGTGTTTTCACTGGTACTTGTTCATTTGCGATTGTGAGCGGCAATCATGCGTAGGAGGAAATTATATTGTGGTGCTGGTGTTTCGTTGACTTTTCATGTGATGATATGATGGTTTAAGATACTTTTTTGCGGTGAAGAACAAGACGCTATTACCGAAGTCGTGAGAAGTCGTTTAATGATGTACTACATTTTTTGTGGACTCAATAGAAGACTGACGACGCCCACATTTGGAACAGAACAACTGAGCGGGTATTTCTTACATAGAACAGAAACCGTTTGTGTCTGATTCCGTCAATTTTGTACTGGGGTTGTTTTCTATCACATTTGTTTTCAACAAAGTATTTATAATGTCACGATACTTTAAGCCCAGTTGAAAAAAAATGAAATTCTTTGCTTCGGGATTATGAACGATAAATAACATATTTCTTTGTTTTGCATAACAAAAGAGCTTGTCTGAAAGTTTCGAAATGACCCTTTTAGTCGTTAAAATAGACATAACTAGCTTCTTTGAGCTACATAAGAGATAAAACACAATATTTTAAAGAAATAGCGTTTGGTTTGATTATGGTTAGCAAAGGTGACTACCAGGTTAAGAAAGCTGGAAAAAATTAAAGATGCAAAGACAGTGCGGCAATTTATGGTTGAAGCTCAAGGGCCATAAACAATATCTTTAGTGTTTAGTGTGCACCCATTGTGACTGAATCAATTTATAACAATTTTCTTTCGGTTTGTCAGTCCAGAATAATCCTAAGGAAGTACTTTGAATGTTTGAAATTTCTCTGGGACAACAGTTTTGTTAGTTTTAGTGAATTAATTCGATGCTTCTTACTAGCATTGTTCAAATGATTGTAGAGATAAAACGTACTTTACATCGTGGCTAATGCAATGTCCGAAACTTCCGGTTTTGGCGTAAGTTGCGCGGAGAGACAGAGAAATCACTAAAGCATGCCAAACTTAATGTTTTTATTCTGGCGAAAGATTCATAAATTGGGAAGTCCGCAGGAAAAAGATCATGCAAAGAAATTGGGAGCGTATGATGAGCTAGTTGTCTTTGAATAAGTTTCCTAAACGTTCAAAACCTAACAACGAGATATGAACATGCTGTTATTGAATGACTGAACCTATAAATAGGTCACGTCATGCTCTACTCACTTTACTCAAAATCGATTAGGGAATAGATAGCGGGTGGCTTGGTCATCAGACTGCAGCATTTGTGAATGCAATTAGATTGCAATGAACCGCAACAAAAATAATTTCTTGCGTTCCTCGAAGTCATTCAGTGTGTAACGTTTCAGATTGTTATATATTTTTTTTTCTTTGTCATCAGGTTGTGCGTTGAAATGCTATGTGTGCTCTGGCAATGAAGATACTTGCAGCAAGAGCAAACTGGAAAGTGACAAGGACACCTACTTGAAGGAATGTGCTTTCATTTATGACAGGTGCGGAAGGAGTTGGACTAAGAGAGGTGACGTGAACACTGTGGAGAACGACTGCGCCAACGAAGCCGTCTGTCACGCAGCAAAAGAGCTTTGTGACGTGCGTAAAGATTCTATCAAGGACTACAAGTGCGGGGTTGGTTGCTGTACTGGCGATGGCTGTAACACAGGCTCACCTGTGACCTTCAGCTTCTTCCTGTTGATCGTCTCTTCTGTGCTGGGCTTAGCACTAATGAAGTAGACTGCAGACCAAAAATGCTAACGTGTTCCCAACATTGCTTGATTGTAGAACTGTGAGCGTCAAAAGACATGTCATACAAGATGGACAGTCAATATTATTCGCACGAGAAAAAGTAGATTTGTAGATCTGAGTGAATTTCCTTGTTTTGTAAGCTTCTTAATTGAATTAAACGTTTTGAAATAAGCGTAGACAGCAATGATACTTTGATGCCAAACAGCTTCGCAACAAATGAATGCATGTCAGTCACACTACTTCCATGAATATCACTCACCATATTATCCTTGAATTTCGGAAATGATCATGACCTGGTTAAATCGGGTTTCTTTCCTTTTTATTTGCTGAAAGCAATGAATAAGGTATTGCGGTGAAGCAGATGTTGACGGAAGTTGTCGACCGTGGACGGAAGCTGTCGACCGTGGACGGAAGTTGTCGACCGTGAACGGAAGTTGTCGACCGTGGACGGAAGTTGTCGACCGTGGACGGAAAGTGTTACGCATCCTACCCCTCCCCACTCAGTAAAAGTCTAAATCAATTTCTATGAAGCTCAGAAATTCACGTGGAAAGAAGACTGAGAATTTATGCCTTTTTTTGGTCTGATACGTGATAACATGTCATCTCTCAACTTACTGAGCGTCACGCAATCGCTTTTCTGCGATCATCTTTCACGATTATTTGCACTATTGTGGAATATTCTTCGCCCGTTTCTTGATCACAATCGTTCTTAACATAGTTTCAAGCCTTCATAAAGTATTCTCACTTTGCGCGCGAGCTGATTGGTGTGATGTCTGGATAGAATTTACCAACTTAATAATAAAAGTAGATGTAGATGTAAATGAGATGCCAATATGACTATCGCGCAATATTCGAGAAAGAATTGACAGCTTTGCACGTGGTTCATTCGTTTTATCTTTTTAACCGATATGTGTTCATTTTGTTGACAAAACTCATGGCCAGAAATCTGTGACAATCAGCGGTTTGAAACGGGGGCTTGTATATCCAAAAAAATTCCTACTACGCATGCGTTCTTGCATCAGATTACATACAGCAAATTATGGCGAGCGGCGTAAGGGATTCGAGCAAGAATAGCCGCGGTTTATTTCTTCAATTACACAATGTTTCTTCTGCGGATCTTCTTTGGGATGAAAAAAAAAGTAGAAAAAGGAAAGGTTAAGAAAAAAAAAAGTGGAAAGGTTAATCTCGAGGAGGACATCACATGGAACGGTGAATTCACAATTTGCCCTGGTCTACGATGTATGTCATTAATTTTCTTACATGCTAAAGTTTTATAATTAAAATCTTCAGGTTCAATATTTGGTGAAATGGAAGGGATACAGCGCGTTTCATAATAGTTGGGAAGATGAAGATAACTTGACTACCGATCTTATTAGGTATTTATTGTTGTATCATTTTTTCAAACTGTACTTAAATTACCATTACAATTGAACATGCCGAAATACGGAATTAACAAGAGAGATGCACTCGTATAAGCTCATTCATGGAAAGGTTTATACTTAACTTTTTTTTTTCACCAATAATACACGTAGTAATTGCTGCTTTTCTTTTTCTTCTGCCTTTGCATTGCTTTCAGTATTACTTGTTCATAGACAACCCCTCTTACAATGTTTCCATTTTCATTATTTTTCTTACAGAACTTATGACAAGCCAATTGTTGACAAAGAGAGGCTAACTCGAAACGTCGATAACCTGAGATTATCAGTCCTCTTTAAATTAAGAAGTAAATCAAGGTCTAATGCTATTTTGGACTTAGATCATGATTGTTTTCGTTTTTTTGTTTTATGGTAAAGGAAGGGAGGGAAGGGAGAAGGGGTATACTTTGTTAGATAAGGATGATTTTAACAAATGTGATTTACCAGAAAACTGGGATAGGGTTATTGATTGTAATGGGGATGGGGTAAGGGTTAAATATCCATTTAAAATTAGATTGTTTTTAGCAAAATCACCAAAAACATATTCTATTATAAATGGGAAAATTCAAGAAGATCAGAGAATGTTAATTGAGAAACTATCAATCGATTTCAGTCGCCAACCTGTAACTATTCAATCATAGATATTATAAACAGAAACTGAAATTGAAATTAACTGTAATGGCTTTAGGGACTGTAAGGGGTTCCACTTGAATGCAAAAGCTGCTAAGAATATGACCAACAAGTGAGTTGAATATACAAAATATACATGGCCCCTATCTAATAACCCTAGGCTTAATGCACAGTATGAATTTGCTTGAAATTGCTTTTATTTACAAAGTTAATTATAATTTTGTTGAGTTGATGTGTTTTCACTGCACTCTGTGCTTGTCATGTAGCTTTTCATGTGAGTTTGTTTATATAATTTTGAATAGTAAAGTAAATGGTTTGAACCCAGGAGTATCAGTAGTTCGTGTAGTGTGATCGTCCGGGTGAGTGTAGTTCTGAAAAGAACTGTTGTTGGTGACTGACGTTTCGACTATCTGTGCGGTAGTCATCTTCAGAGTCAAGTGAGGAGTAAATGTGAGTCGATGATGTTATAAAGTCTGGTCTGTTGAACGTGATTGGTCTGTTTAGCCGTGATGTGATTGGCAGACCAATCACGTTCAACAGACCAGACTGCCCCCTTTTTATGGTCTAAGTCATCATCTTTATCCCAGTCAAGGCACTCCTGCACTAGATTTCCAATCAAAATATCTGTGATTCTCAGCATTAAGTGCATCTCGTCTACCACTATACGATCCAGTGGGATATTTAGTATAGGTTGTTTATCACAACAGTAATTATCTCTAGATTTTTTAGACATTTCAAACATTTCTTTCAGTGTTCTTGCTAAGGGGGGAGTGTTATAACTTGTATAGTCATTGTTGATTCTCCAGCGATCGTTTTTGTGTGTTTTACACCAGGCACAAGCATAATTAGATGTTGCCCCCTTCAGTCCAAGCATCAGTAAAATAAATTTATAATCACCACCAAGATATAATTCAGTTTTAATCTCTTGGCCATCCACATTCACTTTACCTTTGGCAGTCAAGTCATTTACCTCATTGAATAAACATGAATGAGCTGGCTCGAAGAGCCCTTTGATTTTGTGTTTGAATCGTTTTTGCTCTTCCACACAAAAACCTGTCATTGGCAAAAAACGGTACAGTAATTGGAGCACGTGCATTCACCTCAGTATCTTCTGCCAAATTGTAAACAAATCCTCGACTCACTCTAAAATTCTTCCTCCATGCTTCCGGAATGATATTTGGTAACCAAAGTTGTCCTAAAAGCACTCGTACGTCCTGGTAGAACTCAAAACCGTCAAGGCCTTGCCTATCAACAGCCATTTAATCGCTTGATGCCTATTTTTTTGGACAATGGCAATGAAATAGGCCTGATTATCTTGCGTATTCTTTTTGCATAATCGCCTTGCATATGTAACATTCAAAAACATGCCACAATACTGTTTCAAGAAGCTCAAGTAGCAGTGAAACAAACGTAATGCGTCTGTCGGCTATATCGCTTTCGTCTTAGTTGGTGCGCAGGGTAGACTAGATCCAACACCGTGACGTCCGTCGGTTTCAGAACCTCCGTTTTCGTTAGCCGAATGAACCGTTCCACATGATCTAGAACAGACCTCTTAAACCATTCTATGCGGGCAACATATTTCAGAGGTTAGGCCGAATAACGGGATGCTCACGGAGCTCTAAACATTTAGTCGATGTTGACGAAGCATCGTCATTTTTGAAATTAATATTTTAAGCTGTTTTAAGGATTGCATTTCTACTCAGGCGAAATACGGATCAACTTATCTTTCAATTTTTCTTGCTGCTGTTTAGTTATTGCCACACAATGTTACCTCTGCACGGGGAAAGACTGAGACAGCTGTTTGAAGAGCAAGCTGGAAGAAAACAAGGCCTACTATTTACAGACGAGTCACGGTGGTGGCGACAGAGGCTTTAGACACTGGTATAAAAGCCAGCGATTACATGATCATTAACGGATGTACCACAGTTATGATAAAGAAGGACTTCTCAGGGAGGAGCGAAGATCGGACACGAGAGAACGACGGAAATCGAACTTAGCGATTCCCAGGCACCTTGTAAAACGCGTGAGGGAAAACCCTGTAAAAAGAACATATCTACTGTTAGGCAGAATGTTTCTTCTTCCCCCAGAGAGAGTAGTTACAGAGGGTGGGAAAGGGTTTTTGCGTGACGCGTGATGGCCCCAAAATTTGCACGGTGACGCATGATTGAACCCAAATTATCGGCGTGACGCGGGACCGGACATGACAATGAGATGCGTGATTTGCTATTGTACAAGATATCCGTGACAAGTGAACGCTCTTTGACCTAGAAGGGTACCGCTCTTTGACCTAGATAGACACCAGTTATTCGGAGTAAATAGAGTCTTCGTGGCAGGTCCAAACAATCATAACACAAAAGGCATAATTTAGAATTGCAAGCGTCTTGGGTTCAGTTGCGCTGGAGCTTTTCTTGTAGGCAGTACTGTTCTAAGCCCTTACACTGGAAACACTTCAAAGCAAAGCCTGAAAAAATGAATTAAATAAAAGGGAATTTTTGTGAAATCTTTATGCTGAGAAGGGAAATCATTTGCCTACTTTAGCTGAATGTACATCCCACACTTTGATCATCTGGCGAGGTTTGCAAAAACGGAAGACACAAGGTTATAAAGATTGAATGTGCGATCGTATGATGCAATCGTCCGGGCGAGAGAAGTCGTAAAAAAGGACTGCTGTTAGTAATGTTTAAAAAGCGGAGCCATTACCAGAGTCAAGACAGACCTGACTCTGATTAAGACCCCACGCACTCTGTCTCCTCGGTAAACCGGACGATCGCACCACTGACAATTAATTCTTGATGAGTTACTTGTTGTGAACGGGCAAAATCGATCGGCGACTTTTCTTAAAATGGCTCTGAGGTTCGTGATCCTAGAGGGAGCACACCGACAAGCTACGAAGTCCCACAAGCAGTTTTTGCTTTCACTTCATGGTGTATCAGAATCAATCTGGAACACTGTGGGGAACTAGTCAATGGATATTTTTGTGCCAGCTTCCAGTCGGAATCATGCGGGTTGTAGCAACGTCTCGCAGCACTTCCTGCTACCCAAGTATTTAAGAAAACTTTAATACCTGTGTTGTTTTCTCGGAAACACTCGTGTACTGTGAAATAACTGAGAGTGAGAATATCAGAGAAGATTTAAAAAATTACAGTACCAAGCTGCCTAGAGTTTCATACCTGTACAAAGTCTATTGTGACATCTTCCTGTTTGAATCTCTTTGTTGTTGATGCAGTCTCGCCATACTTGAGTGTTTTGCCTGATGTTGCTACGATTAACTGTCCGCATTTGTGTTTCAGTGCCACATGTCTTAGAACAAGGCTCCCATTTTGACCAGACGTCTCCCTTTGCTAGAATTAGCCAAACAAGGGTTCAAGACTTACAAATTGACTGAACGCGTATTTTAATCAACCTCGACCACACTAATGCGTTTTCAAAAGTGTTCGTTTTCGTCGCCATCAAAACGAAGCAAGCATATTTTAATTCGCGTTGACCTCATCTTATCACTCTATGTAATAAAATATTAGATATGATATGCACTGTTCATTGTTCCCATCACATTTATAGCATTTCGACGCTTGTCTGAGAGTCAAACAAAATAGAACGAAAGTGAAGGGATTAAGACATCACTCTACCAAATGATGCTGCCCTTCTGGCTTCTATGCAGGAACTAACTGGTACATTTGTTTCGTTGCTCAGATGATTTATTATGGAAACTTCTTACGCGCTTTCAGTTTGACAAGACTGCGTGCCATAGTGTGAATTATACACCTTACACATAAATTCTGGTCTTAATGATGGCTCGTATTATGAGTAGAGTGTGGAGTACTTTCATCAAAACATTGCCAATTAGTTTTCATTTCGAGCAGACAGGAGATTTTAAATGGCTACGCATGTGCATGGGTTTCAGTCACCTGATTTCATTTTAATTGGCCGCCCTATTGGTGCACATCACTTGTCTGTAAACATATGACCACGAGCTATGTTTATGATTAAAAAAAAAAATGGTTTTATGCGCGATTTTTGGCTGTGCGACCCGAAGTGGTCGTGATAAAGGAATTAATATGGCAAGAATACCTTCAGTTATTACTAGTCGAGGAGAAGAAGTACGGAAACTTTCCGAGGAAAGGCGAAACAAATGGATTTCTGCGATCAGTAGCGAAGACCTCACAGACAACATTTTGAATCACGGCCGGGTCTGTGGTAAACATTTTATCCCCGGAAAAACGGCTGAACTGTGGAGTCGTTACGATCCAGATTGGTTTCCGACTCAACATCTAGGTCATCAGAGTTGTGGTTCTGTCGAAAAACTTTGCCAGCTGAAACATGTTGCAGAAGAACGTGAAAGGCAGCTTGGGGAAGAAATCGAGTCCAAAAAGCAAAAACTTTATGAACCAGGAGAAAACGTTATTGAAAATTGCTTCGATGTCGAATCAGCAGTGGGCACCATGCCCAGCGATACAGGCTTTGTTTCGCATTTGCTGAGGTCAAAATAAGTTTTCCATTTCCGCTTGCGTCGGCGCTGGCACTTCCGGTTTCTGAACGCCGTGGGGGCTTTCAGTGAAGACTTCCGAGTTCTCAGAAACCCGAAGTCCCTCATTGAGATTCTCTATCGTTTCATCAAGATCGGCTTTCACTTTCTTAGCGGATTTAAAGTTAATATTGCGGACACGAGAGTATTCCACCTTGTTTGGGAAACTGGGAAGTACCCGAGGGCACTGAATTTGCGTACAGGAAAGCCTTTCATTGACCTTTGTCTAAGCCTTAAGGTAAAATAGCACACCAGCTATGTGCGAACATGATTGGGCGAGGCCTGCCTTGCATCCCAGACAATGAACGCAGTTTATTGTCCCATCCTTCGCGGTGATAACCCAGATTTGAATCAAGGCATCGCTCATCCGCTGCGAGTGCCGCACTTCTGCCAACACCACGAACTTGTTTGCGATGATAACATAACATGACATAACGTGTTTATTCAAGATGAAAAAAACAAAATTAAAGCTTCTTCTTCTTCTTTCATAGTTTAATCAATTCACTAGTAATCCAAGGAGCGTTCTTCCGTTATTTTATTTGTCGCTTTGGGATAGACTCGTCAATTGCAGTGAATAACAGGTCAGACCATGCAGACCAGATAATATTAATACC